CGTTACGGTCAGGTTACCAGGTATACTGGGATATAGTGCAGGGTTAATGGACATCAATAAGATACAAAAGGCCTTATGATGTAAAAGGTCAACTTCCAAAGACCATGGTCTAGGTCGGGGTTTTAACAACAACGATAAAACGTTCTCTTTCATTAAAATTACTTGAATACTCTTAACCCATTCCTTAAAATTTCCTCCACTCACACTTAAACTTTTAAAATTAGGAGGAAGAACCTGTACATTATTAAACATGGAAACAGACATTAATTGATGTTCAGGGTGTGGTCCGTCCTGGAACGGGCAATAAGGCATTGGAATGGAAGCACACAACACAGTGTCTTCCATCTGGCATTCTGATGGTTGTTCCTCCCCAATGGGAGGGATTAAAACCTCACGTTGTGCAGATGCAAAGCTTGTCCTGGTTTGACTACAAGAGTTCGAGGGTCCTCTCTGGTGCACATCTCTAGGAATTTTCGGACGCTCTCCTAAATTCCTATCTTCAGTTGAGGCAGCCTCTGGAACTGCCCTGGATGTCAATATAGTCACGGATGGATATGTCCCACTCGTGGCGTGCGCTGAATTAATCGCAGACATCAGGGGTACTTTGATATGTGCAGCTACTATTCGTTGAGCCGATGGCGCCTGCAAACCATCATCCAAAATGGTTCCTAAAGTTTCTATCACATTTGCAACCTTACACTCAACATAAGAATTTCTTAAGTTTTTAGCAGAAGTCATTGACGTCATCAAGGGAGCTAAAGTTTTTATGGCCTGATCTATAATGGCTTCGACAGCAGGTGGTGCAGTATCAACTTGGCCATGTTGGTTTAACAAAGAAGCAGGAACATTCGAATCAGACAGTCTATTATCCCCCATTCTCCACATATCATCTGAAATAGGGGTTTTAGGAAAGGATTGAAAGTCTCTTACCGATCAAGTGTTTTCTAAGGCTTCGATCTTCTTTCCTTTAGCTGTCGTTATGACTGGATTCTTTAATGATTCGCTAAAGTTGGCAATCGGATTCTGACTTGTTATGGGCAATCCTAAAAATTGAAGGATTGCCTTCCTAAATTCATCATCCACCTCTAATTTTGTTTTCGAGACCCGAAGTGGCGTTCTTCCAGTCTCTACTTCTTTTGGTGATGATGGTTTACTCACTGCCTTAGGCACTTCAGAAGTTAAAGCTTCTGCTTCAAAACCTACAGCTCCACTACACTCTAAATCGATTAAGATTTGGGGTTTTTCAGCCAAAGCATTTTTGGCCTGAGCCTCAGATAGTCCAGTTTGTGGCTTCATGCTTTTTGCTGCTGCTGCCCTAGTCAACATCTATTCAACTGCAGACATTTCAGTCTAGCGCATTACCACGAGTGTAGGTTCGTTAAACCATCCTCTGCTACCAACTATTATGAAGTGGGGTTGAGGGGTACCCCGGACCGTGAACCAGCTCATGAGCAAATGGGAATGGGATCTGGGAAGCGGGGACGACGGAAAGTAGGATGGGCCTGCAGTGCACAGCAGCGGCTTTAAGAAACTCAGAGTAGCAGGAAAAGGGCTGGCTCTGCCGAACCTCGCATGCCCAGCCTGGGGTCAGGCTTGGAGAAAGCTGGAGGACCCTCACCAAAGACGCTCACCCGTTACCCAGTCTCCCCCTCTCTCTGTATCTCTGTGTGTGTGTCATGCGCACCCTCCTGGCCCTGCAACAGGTAACCAGGGAGTTGCAAGAGGTGGAGGGTCGCTGGAGACTTAGTGCAGGAAGGAAGTGGCCCTGTAATTGCCTTCGTGCCACATTTGTGCTCAAGGCAGCTCTCTGCTCCCACAGCCACAGCGCTCAATCGAAAAGATGTGGGGGGGTGGGGGTCGACATGGCAAGGAGCCTTGTGCAGGAGTGAAGCGCTCCTGTGCTTGCCTTTCTGCTACATTTGTGCTCAAGGCAGCCCTCGCCTCCTGCCACTTTGTTATGAAGTGGGGTTGAGGGGTACCCCGGATCGTGAACCAGCTCATGAGCAAACACACTAGGACTGAAATAAATCTGACAGAGGCGTCTAATGTAAAAATATAATTTACTTTAAAACACTTAAAAAGCACTATATCTTTAAAAAAGCACATTAGTAACAACATCTTATCTTGGTTATGTGAAGCCAAGCTATCTCCCTAGATTCCTCTCCACAATACCGAAACAGTTCACAAGAGAAAAAGGTTAACATGACAATAAGCAGCTTCGGTGTCGATACATCATCGAGGTAGTAGAAGGGCGGCAGCATAAACTTCACAGCTAAAAAAGTCACCAGAAGAAAAAACAATTTCAATCAGCAAACGTAGCTTGAAGCTTGTGGGAGGAAGAATGTCTAGCAGCAGCAGTTCTGATGATGGCTTGCGTGCTTCAAAACAGCAAAAGGCAAGCATCCATAGGAGTATCTCTGCAACAGCATCTGGAGTCCTTATCTGTGTTCTCCTCCCTTCTGTAACGTTGCACTGAGCTCTGCATCCAGCTTCCAGCAGGAGCTCTGCATCTAGGCCTAAACAGCGTTTAGGCCCAAGTAGCAAGCGAAAAGGTCCTTGCTTATATGGGGAGTCAACCTGCAATTAACTAGGGCGGGGAAGGCTTGCAGGTAATTGCAAACAGGAGATGGCTTGATTGAAACCATACTGTTTGTGACTGATCAAGTAGCCACAGCAATCCTGAAAACACTCATGACACACTTCAGGCTCGGAGCTGTAAGCCATGTCCTGTTGCTAGGGGTGAGTGGAGCATTGTGGCTCCCCATCATAATGGGTTCCAGGAAGAAGAGGAAGGACCCCATTTCCCCCATTGTGAAGTGCCCTGAAGTTCATTGTGCTGCGCAAGGCACTGCGAAATGGCCTCATGGCCAGCCTGACACCTCATCAGAGAGAGATAGACACAGAGATACAGAGAGGGAGGGGGGAGATAGGAGGAGAGAGATGGAGGAAGGGGGGAGAGAGATGTCAAAAGGGTTTTGTAGCTCCTGGTATTTTTTAATAAGGGTTTTCTACCCTAATGTCCGGCTGGGTAGGTATGGCTAGGGGGTGTCATGTGGCTGAGTGGGAGTCAGTGACGTTGAGTTGACTATCACCCAGGTTTTGTGGCTCCTGGTATTTAAGGTTGCAGACCCCAGGGCTAAGCCAATCATTCTAAGCACCTGCCCACAGATGCTAACCTCACTTCACAAATTAAAAATAGTGGTGATAGTCATTTATCTTGCTCATAGGCAATATTCAAGAAGGGGAAGAAGTAAAATCAGAGGAATCTACCAATAGTTTTCTGTAATTTGAGCCGATTTAAGGAGAGCACCGCCTCTGACCTCATTAATGAAACAGAAAAGGAAATCAGCAATAAAGGCAGCACACTTTATGCTAACGTATTTTTGTGCAGTTTCATGGACTGGATGATAACATTTTGATGCAACTATCAAGTTATAGCCACTGGTGAAAGATAATGAGTATTATGTAAGACCTGTAGAAGCCTAGTTTTGTTTCACTTACCTACGTATTTCCTTAGGTTCATCACTATATAGACATAGAATTCTGAATTAGCAAAACTTTTGTTATGATTCAAGATAGCCACTGTACCTTTGCATTTTATTGAATGTCCTTTCATTTTAATAAAGTTGCTTATATTAAGTGGTTGAAGTCTATACCCTCAAATTCAGCTACACGATTTCAGTGGAATAGCAATGCCACCTTGTGGCTAATTTTAATAAAAGCTGCTGATTGAAGAGCAACAGTAAAATAATTTTGTTTTCATCTTTAAAAGCTAAATAAAATGCATGACTGAGAGCACATTTCAATTAAGAGCTTTAAAAAAAGCATTAATTTTGCTTGCCAGTATTTTTGAACAGTTTCATACACACATACATACATACATACATACATACACACATACACACATACATCTTTAAACCCTCTAAATCCCCCACACATATGCTACATATTGATATTGGTTAGTATCAGTTTTGATGGTTGTGGGTTTATGTACAAAACATTTTTCTTGTCTCCACCGAAAATTATTGACCAATTTTTTTATAAATCAAATATTTCTTAACTTTCTTATGTGCATTGCCTGTTAACAAGTCATATCTTGTTTTATGTTTTTCAAATAATGAAATACCTTTTATTTATTGGGAGGAACATTTGCCCCATTTTTATTCCATGTTATGCATTTAAAATCCATGTTTATGCTGTGAATTTAGTAAAGTCTATAGTTGTAATACCCAATGTAGTAGTCTCTTCCTCATCGCTGCACTTGCTGCATGTAGATTAACATGCATCTCCTTTGATGCCTCTTTAAATCTTTCAAAGAAGTTCTTTTCCTTTTGGATTGAATTAAGTCAGAACTTCTGTTGTTCAAAAGTTAAAATGTCTCCTTTCATCAGTTAAACAAGGACCTCAGTGACCATGACTTCTGATTTCCTGCCAGCTTCTCCATTGACTTTGCTTTGGAAAGCCAGCAGGGAACATTGGAATTCTGCACATCTTAATGTTGCTGAAGTTCAGAATACTGCTGTAAGGAATGTTAATGAAATTGTGGAATTTATGAATGATTTTACCCATTGACCTTTCTTGAATTCTCTATTTAAATAGCTTTAAAAGAAAATTATAAATATCAATGAATCACGATACTACCTCATGAAACAACTCTTGTTTTTTAAAAAAATAAAATAAAATGGAGGAGGAAACAGTAAAAGAGACAATAACCTGGGCCAAAAATTTCAGATATAATATTGATTTGGAACATTGGGAAAAAATATGGGAGAAAAACTAAACGATGTCGGCATCATATAAGGAAAACATCTATAAAATGTTTTATCGTTGGCATTTACCACCGGCAAGGCTGGCCAAAATATAGCCCAATAGATTGCCCAATTGTTGGAGATGCAACCACGAGCAAGGAACATTCTATCACATGTGGTGCACTTGCCCGAAAGTCCAGAACTATTAGATGAAAATCAAAAAATGATTAGAAGAAATTACAGAACAAAAAATTGAGATGAAGCCAGATTTGTTTTTATTGGGTATTATAAAAGGAAATATAAGTAAAAAGATTCAATATATTATACTTCATATTACAATAGCAGCAAGAATTACATTTGCCCAGAATTGGAAACAGGAAAACATGCCATCAAACACAATGATAATAAAAAAGGTGCTCAATTGTGCAGAAATGGATAAATTAACTATGAAGTTAAAAGATAAAGAGGAAACAGGTATTACAAAAGTTGGAATATGTCGTATTACTGGCTAGAAACTAGATGTAAAATTAATGCATAAAGACTATATAGAAAGTATGTTAAATTGAAAATTCTATATATTTATGAATATGATAAAACATGTTAAAGGGTAAAAGGAATATGTAAGTACACACACACACACACACACACACACATATATATATGTCTTCTTAAGTTTTTGCATTATTTTTTGCATATATATATATATAACTAAATTGATGTTAAAGAAGAACAAATGTAGAGCATAGTAAAAGATAAGTATTTAAAGGTGGATATAATGTATAGAATTATAGGCCATAACTTGGAATTATGAAATTTGAATTGATACCGATAATTGAAAACTGTACAAATGGAAATGTACTTTTAAAACTAAAAAAGACTATTTTAAAACTTAAAGACTATTTTAAAAAAAGAAAAGAAACAACTCTTACTTCCTTATTCCAATGGGGTTTTTTTTCCATCCTGTAGAATGTGGGCACTATAAAATGTGCAGTAAACCATTTATAAGCATTTTTAATTATAGCTGTCCTCACCAAAAACAATGCACCATAGACATCAAATATTCATGGGTATACAGAAGGTGTGAATATTCAGGAATATGAAGAATAAGCTCACTAGCTAAACAGCGAAGTCAAAAACTGCATTTTTAGTAGCCTGCAGGGCCTCAGCTTGTAGTAGTAATAATGTAAAGTTCCTGGAAATGCTTTTGAAGGTTTAGAGGCAAATTAAATTAAATATGTATTTAAATCTGTTTGGATTCAACTATTTTTTCTTACTTACAGAAATACAAAAAATAATAACTTCTAGGGAAGCACTGGGAGGGAGTGACGAAGGAGAAGTACAAGCAGGGGTGAAATCCATCAGGTTCTAACAGGTTCTGGAGAACTGGTAGTGGAAATTTTGAGTAGTTTGGGGAACCAGCAAATACTCTCTCTGGCTGGCCCCAGAGAGGGGTGGGAATGGAGATTTTGCAATATCCTTCCCTCAGGAGGGGAGGGAATGGAGATTTTGCAGTATCCTTCACCCTGGAGTGGGGTGGGAATGGAGATTTTGCAATATCCTTCCCCTGCCACGCCCACCAAGCCACGTGCTCAGAACCAGTAGGGAAAAATTTTGGATTTCACCCCTGGGTACAAGTCTTATATCTTGCAAATAATTTAAACCCTAATCATGAAGTGCAAAGTTTAAATAAAATATACATATGTAGGAAGTTAAAACCCACCGCTCTCCTAGAAAATGAAATATTTTAGGAAATATTAAAAGGGTAGAATATTTCCCCTAAAAGGGAGGCAGAAATTCAGCTCCCCTCCTTTGTCAATGGGCCATTAAGGCCTGAGCCAGCTCATCTGCCACACAAAAGGCCAGGACATAATAGAACCCATCTAGCAACAAACTCACCACATGGTACCTGGGAAGACTACATCATCCAGCAAACCTACAAAGTTAGCTAAGACCCCCGCCCCCTGGGAGTCTGACAGCCAATGGGATACATTTCTTGTACAGGAACAGGAAACTCTAAGGTGGGGCCCAACAGAGGGCATAAAACCAGGGCACTCTCAGCATCTCTGCCCTTTTCTTTCTTTACCCAACAACAAGGCATGTGATCCTGTCCACCATTAAAACCATCTTTCCGAACAGCCACCATGTTTCCAGTGTCTTTTCCCCCACTTGGACCCGAACCCAGAAGGATATTTCTTCCAACACATATTATACTTTAAAATCCCAATGTTTTAATGAAAGAAAATGAATATCCACACATTCACACATATACAATTTTATGATATATAATTATTTTAAGATGTTTATAAATTGTTTTAAGGTGTTTACAAATCACTTTAGTAATTCAAATAACAGATAGTGTTGACATATTTTGACAGAAATAAATATATTGCACTTAAAAATAAATGTTTTTGTTGGGTGTTGCTTTCTAATTTACATATTTGACTCCTTTTTCATAAAACAATTGCTATTACCTTCAATATACATATGGACACACATCATTATATGGTGAATGTGCTCACATATGGTGAATGTTAATTAAAACAATTTAACACAGCAATCAATAATACATTCTGCTAAGATAGACCATCTCCAGTTTCCATACACAAAGTCTTTTCTCATATTTCTGGTGCTATAATAAGAAACTAGATGATAATTTAAAATATGACAGAGATAAAATACAATGATCTGTATTTTGTGTCTAAATTCCTTTAAATGAAGTTATGAATAAACACATTTATTGATTTCACTCATTGCTTAATATAAAAAAGCCAAACCCTGACAATTTTAACCAAACCTGAAAATAATTTTATTACTATTAAAATACATATAATCCCCATTAAGACATGGGAAAATATCAAAATTATATTTCCTGCTACAAATGAGTAACAAAAACCAAAGAATTTGATTTCACTATAAAAGCACACTGAAATAATTTAAACAAAACTGTTTTTAAACCTATTAATCCAACATTTTCAGTGCCTATACAGATCCTGGTTCAGCAATGGATTCTAACTGGGATTAATTTGGGAAAATATTCAGCTCACAGAGTATGAGGAAAACATAGATCATCAGGTAACAAAAAGGCAGTTCATCTCTACATTCCAAAACTGCAAAATTGCTTAAAATAAATTTGAACAATATTTATTTTTTTATCTAGCTTAAAATTAGCATAAATTAAGTACAATACCATTTCCACAGATTTCCAAACACCTCAAACACCGCAATGTTCAATCCACAGCAAAACCATTTAATTCACCACTTTTACAGCAGCCAGAGAGCAATAGTTGGACAAAAACTTTGTAAGAATGGAGTCAATCTATGAGATGCTGATCTTAATCAGTCAAAACTCAAACCTTTTTAAAATTATTTATTCTTCCAAAGATAAGGGGGAAAGCATTTTTAAAATTATTAGTGTAATTAGAATTGAAACTTATTCGAAAGCCAGTAACTCCTCATGGACAAGATGGCTAAAAGTCATAAGGTGCATAAGATATCACTGAAGAGATGAGAAAAATTTTAGACGACTTTTGTTATTTTGAAGAAGTTTAATTAAATAGGGAGAAGTTAAATCTAACATAATGTACATATTTTTCAATTTTTGTCACCAGACAATTGTGCTGGCATGAATCAGTGTTTTGCATGTGAATTTCAGAGACATTATCTTTGCACTCTCAAAATGGAGCTTGGAAGTATAGGCTGCCCATTCTTCCTATATTAAAGATTTCAGAAAAAAATATAATAGAAGTATGAGTCAGGAATTCCATTCCTATCAGTTTGAGTTCCCACCAAAACTGCTTTTTGGGCTAGAAGATTGGCGGGGGAAAAATGGAACATCAAACGCCTGATGGGAAGAAAGCTTTTATTTAAGAGACTGTTGACCTTCGATACTCTTCAATTTAAAACTTTAAAATTCTGATATAAAGGAATATAAAGGAAAGCTAACACAATGATCTCAATTTCGTGCTTCTATAAAACCATTTTCTAGAAATATCTAGCAGTGAGAAAGAGACCTACTATTCTATTAAATTGGGAATAATGGGTCTAATTGGGGATAATCTCTTGTGAGTTTTTTTTTTAAGAAAAACAAAAAAAAATCTTTGTTTTTCTATTTGATAGGGCTCTTTCATTCTTACCTTAATATTCTTGTTTGCATTTTAAACAGATCCAGAATTGCAGTTGGATGCTAGCAATCTTTTTTCAGAATATAACATCAAAATGAGCAGGTGACTTCTCACTTAAAATAAGAACTGGCCTCAAAGGGTGCTTCAAAATTTCTGTCTAAATTTGTGGGCAAGGAAATTGGGCGGACAATTTATTCAGCAGAAGGAGAAATGTTTGAACCACTTTCTCCAATCATTATCATCCCTAAGTTGTATATTTGTTACATTTCAAACTTGTTGGGTGGATAGCTGACATCAAAAGAGAACAAACATGTCTTCTGATTTTGCCAGACACTTCTACAGGATTAGTTTATAATTTGTCTGTTGAGAGAGGCACGGTGGTAAGTCAGGCTTCTAGCCAAAACAAAAGAAATGAAACAAAAATGAAAAAGAATGTTCCTCACAAAATGAACAGAAAATTTCTTTCAAAGTACTTGAAGTTTGGGCTGTTTGCTGTGAGTTGTTTCCAGATAGTAGGCAATGACATCAGGTGCAGGCTATTTTGCACCAGAAACAGAATAGCCCCCATGTATAATAGCCCTCAGGAGCACCCCTGTTGCAAAAGCTCAATGGGAAGAATTATTCCTAAAGGCTTCCTTTATGCTTTAATTAAAGACTGAGAAGTGAAGAAGACTGCAGACCATCAAAAAGATAATTTTGATTTTATCAGGTTCGCCTGATCCGCCAGTTGCAGCTCTTTCTTGATCGGGATTCCTTGTGCACAGTCACTCATGCCCTCGTAACCTCTCACCTTGATTACTGCAATGCTCTCTACATGGGGCTCCCCTTGAAGAGCACCCGGAGGCTCCAACTGGTCCAGAACACAGCAGCGCGGGTAGTGACGGGAGCAGCGTGGCGCTCCCATGTAACACCGCTCCTGCGTGAACTGCATTGGCTCCCGGTGGTCTTCCGGGTGCGCTTCAAGGTGTTGGTTATCACCTTTAAAGCGCTCCATGGCATAGGGCCTAGCTATCTTCGAGACCGCCTACTGCCACCGACGACCTCCCACCGACCCGTGCGCTCCCACAGAGAGGGCCTCCTCGGGGTGCCATCAGCCAAACAATGCAGGCTGGTGACCCCCAGGGGGAGGGCCTTCTCTGTGGGGGCACCCACCCTCTGGAATCAGTTGCCCCCTGAGATAAGGAGAATCCATGACCTCAGTGCCTTCCGCCGTGCCCTTAAAACTTTCTTTTTTCAACAAGCCAGGCTGGCTTAATTTCTTTTTAAGGGTTTTTTAATTGTTTTGTTTTGTTTATCGTTTTAATTAATGGGGCCAAATCTATATATATTTTTTAAATGCGTTTTAATATTTGTATTTGATGTTTTTATTTGGCTGTTCACCCCCTGAGTCCTCAGGGAGAAGGGCGGTATACAAATTCAAAAATAAAATAAAATAAAATAATACAGTATGAAGTCAAGATATTCATACATTTTCCATTTGTTTATAACTAAGAGCAATTCTCAAGTTGCTGGTATCTGATTGATTGCAATGAATTGGTAATGGGGCCTAGCTAGTGTTCACCTGGACTATGATCACCACTAACATCTGATTATTTGTTCCCCTGCTTTCCATCATTAAAAGGACACCAAGTTTGCAGAGACTGGGCTATGAATGTCTGCTTTTTATCCCCTCTTTACTAATTTTTGTGCCATTATTTTCCTCTCCAGATATTTATACACATGAATGTTTTCATTTCCACTTCCAACATCATCTCTTGTTTGATATTGAATTTTCTCTTTTTTCCCCTTTTCCCTTGTTTTATTTTAATCTGATACTACAATAATCAAAGCAATAGGAACAAGATTTTCTTTTGTTCATACACTCCTCTGTAGGTCAATGGAAACTTTGCTAATTGTTCATTTTACAAAAAAAAAAAGATTCTTATATTGCAACTTTAAGATGTTAAAAAATAAGCAAGGGAAAACTTTGCAAGGATTGTAAAGCAAGGAGAACAGAAATCAAAAGGGCACCTACCTGATAAGGATTGAATGGAACATGACTAAGATTCAGAATGGTTCATGGCTTTATCAGGCCATTATTGGATTAATTGCAAGATTATTTTTTTAAAAGTCGAGAACATAACAGCCCAGCAGAAAACTGCTGCCCAGGTAAGTGACTAGATACTGAAGAGGAGGGAACATGCCAGGCACTGCATCCAATTGAAGTTGGGTCTGCTACTAGAATGGAATAAAGCATTAAAGACCATGCTTCTAAAGAGCTTAAGTCAAGTCAGAAAAGTTTTAATCAAAGCTGGAAAAGTTTGGTGCAGAGTATATTTATAATAGGTTGGGAATGGAAATACTATCTATTCCTGCACTCAGAAAGCAATGATTGCCCAAACTGTTGATGACAAGTGCACATCTACTCTAAGTAACTACAAGAACTACCCATGAACGTTTCAGTGTATTTTTATTCTTTGAAAGAAACTTTGGGGAGTTCATTGAACTGAATGAGTGCAGTATAGGTAAAAAAAAAATCAGAACTGTAAGATTAATCTTGTCTATACCAGTTAAAATATTGTTAGAAGTCTTGCTTCTAGATTTGCCTATCCCATTTTACAATTTCTTTGCACTGCTATAATTTTTTGATTAAAAATTTAACAGTATGTAATGTTTTGATTTGCTAGATAAGTGAAAAAATTCAGGGTAAGATACAAAGTTATTTTATGTTCACATTTTATTTAAGAGATTTAAATCTTGTTCCATTCCCAGAAGTCAATGTTTAGATTGCTTCATTCCAAGATTTCCTAATGAATGTTTCTCAGCTAAGTATTTTATGTACATATGTATGTACAATATTTATGTTGATACACTTCAGCAATGCTGAATTTGAACTAAAATAATATTTAACTTTGTGATTTTTTGTTTTAGCTTTGTCACTGAATTATATTTAGTGTCTGGAGCACTGATCGGGCATAATCCACTGGAGAAAAATTCTGTACAAATCTTTCAATTTTAAAAAGATTAATACATGCATGCATGCTCTACTTTCACAAGTGTGTGTGCTGACTTGCACAACTTTCATTCACTGCACTCAATAAAACAGAGAGAGAAGGAATTCCAGTGATTTGTGGTTCCCATCTAATTAGGGATTGATATTTTAAGGAATTAAAAGGAAGGGAGAGGATAATGTTGAATAACATTTCCTTCTATTTTTTTCTAGGCAGAACTGCAATGGCTAAATATGTTCATTCCCCCCAATGAAATCACTACACCAATATTGCCTCTTTTGCTTTTGTTGAGAAGGAAATCTAGAAACAGCACTGCTATATACCATTGCATGAACATAGTCTTTTATCTAGTGGTTATGATGCACCTTCGCATAATCTGACAATTAATTGGAAACCTTGCTACATTCAGAACCCATTTGGCAACATTAGGTTTAGATTTCCCAGCCACAATGATTAGTACATTTTTCATGTAACTTTGATTCCTTCACCATCTCATGCAAGCTAGTTTTCCTCTTCAATTCTTACAATGTTTCTTCTCAGCTCTTTACAATATGTCCATCATTCTTTCTGTGCCTAACTTTGCCTTTCCTTGACTTTGGGTCAGTTATACAAAAGGTGTCATCACTGTAGAAGAATGGCGTAGTCCCTGAATTGCTGCATAAGGCCCTTGCTGAAAATAATGGTGATATCTCGGCATATGGAAAGATGGGAATGTGGGGCCACTTCCCTGAATTGAACTAGCAATGGCAGAAGGTGTCAAAGGCATTCCCAGGCGGCTAAATGGAGGCAGTGATCCTTGAATTGGATGAGGAATTGGAGTGGCTATTGAGGCACTGTTGGAACCAAGAGTAGTCAAGGACTGTGGATGTTGAAATCCAGGAAAATTTGAAGAGGATGAGACCCAGGAACTGAGGGATAAATTATCAGATGTAAAAGCTGATCCTGCAAACAAGAAGAAGCAATATACATCTTTAGGGAATTCAAAGAAGTTGTGTGATGTTTATAACACAGCTATGATAGCAATTCTAAGTAAGTTTTGAGAACAAATTGCCAGATGACAGCATACAGAGCTGAAGTAGCCACTGCATATCAGGAAGATCACAAAAGATAACGTTAATATAATAGCATAATCAGTAACCCCAGGAGATTAATTCACAGGTCTATTCTTAACTATACAGAATCAAAGCCAGTGCAATTACTCTAGACAACACTCATTTGAACAGGTACCAAAGAATCTGTTTAATATTACCAATAGCCACATTTAAAAGTGTTTAGAAATATAAATTATCTGATTTTTGAGAGGGGGGAGTGTCATCTGAGAATTCTAGGTACTGTTGTGTCCTTGTGCACCTTTATATAACAGCACCCGAAGATTTATCTGCAACACATACCGTACATCCCAGTAGAGTATGTGTAGAAAACAGAAAATACAATGCTGCTATGTTAGAAGAGGCTTTAATCATGAAATATGCATAAATATATGACAGTTTCGAACCCATATTGCCCCCTGCAATTCTAGAGTCATATAGGTCATTTTTCCCAGAATGCTTTCAGACATAAGTGAAAATAAGACTTGATTATGCTGGAGAATCAGGGTTATATTTAGGAAAACATATGGAAATCCAAAAAGGAAACAAATAGACTTGCGGATAAGTTCAGACAAAGAGATCTGTTTCCTCTGCATCTAGAAATCAAAATATATTTTCACAGATCATCATTTTCTGCAACCTTCAACGAAGCTAGCAAATATTCTGGCTTTCTAATAACTATTTTGGGCTTGCTTACCAAGCAAATATGTTCACTAACAATATAATGGATTAACCAAAAACAAATTAAGAGGAGGGAGGGAGGGAGGGAGGGAGGGAGGGAGGGAGGAAGGAAGGAAGGAAGGAAGGAAGGAAGGAAGGAAGGAAGGAAGGAAAGAAAGAAAGGTTAAAAAGACAATTAACATTCACAGCACATTGCTAAATATAGTCAATAATACGACAGGCAGTTAAAGTTACCAAGGGAAAAAAATAATCAGCTATTCTACAAGCTACTTTGGAAAAGTCAAGCACTTCAAACATTGCTGCTGATTCATAGAGAGAAAAATGGACATAAATTTATCTAGTCTACAAATACAAATTTAATAAAAATTAAATAAATAAATAAATAAATAAATAAATAAATAAATTTAGTCATCCATGGAAAAATTTTAAGGAGAAAAACTATTGTATTTTTTGGAGTATAAGACACACCTTTTCCCCCCAAAAAAGAGTGTGAAAATCTGGGTGGGTCTTATACTCCCAATGTAGCCCCTCCCAGCTTCTCAAACAGGTTTCAGAGGCTGAAAAAAGCATCAGAGGCTGAAAAAAGCATCAGAAATGAAGCTTCAAAAAAAAAAGCCTCCAAATAGAGGTTCAGAAAAAAAGCCTCAGAAACAGAGCTTCAGAGGCTTTTTTCTAAAGCTCTGTTCCGGAGGCTTTCAGAGGCAGTAAAAAAAAGTTTTTGCTGAAACTGAGTTTCAGAAGTTTCAGAGGCAGAAAAAAAAGCAAGGCACAGAGCTCACAACCAACGAACCTGTTGCTAAAATACACCTCTGGGAACAGCTGATTGGGGGTATTCGGGGAGGCTAAACTACCCGCCAATCAGCTTTTTTTCTTATTTTCCTCCCCAAAAACTAAGGTGCGTTTTATACTCCGGTGGTCTTATACTCCGAAAAATACGGTATTAACCAGATACAAGATTCTCTGCAAAATCAGAGAGAACAGATTCTCCTAGAATAAGGAATCTTTCTGAATCTACCATTGATCTGCAGATGGTAGAATGCAGGGGTGAAATCTAAAATTTTTCTCTACCGGTTCTGTGGGTGTGGCTTGGTAGGGGGGTGTCCTGTGACTGAGTGGGTGTGGCCAACTCGATGTCACTCACAGCCACGCCCACTCAGTCACAAGACCCCCTTCCACCAAGCCACGCCCACAGAACCCAGTAGGAAAACTTTTTAAATTTCTTTCTCCTGCGGCTCTGCCCATTCGCCCCATTCCCCGGACTCCTATTGCTCACCTTTCTCCTGCAGCTGGCTGTCAGGGAAGGCAAGCGCCCAAAAGGTACCAGAGTTGCTCACTCTCCTTCTTGAATGAGCCGCTCTGGTCCACGCGCCGGCTGCCAAGTGCACATCGTTTATTTAATTCAGTGGCAGTTTGGGTGTGCACTTGTGTAGCCGGCGCGTGGACCAGAGCGGCTCATTCAAGAAGGAGAGTGAGTGACTCCGCTACCTTTCGGGTGCTTGGCTTCCCTGACAGCCAGCCACGGGAGAAAGGTGAGCAGTAGGAGTCAGAGAATGCACCATTCCTCAACTCTGGCCTTGCCGCAGAGCCGCTGCCTGCTCGCCCTTTGCCACGCGGCTCCGCCCACCTGCTCCATTCCCCGGAGTCGGGGAATGCCCCATTCCTGGACTCCTACTGCTCACCTTTCTCCCACGGCTGGCTGTCAGGGAAGGCAAGCGCCCGAAAGGTAGCGGAGTTGCTCACTCTCCTTCTTGAATGAGCCGCTCTGGTCCACGCACCGGCTGCACAAGTGCACACCCAAACTGCCACTGAATTAAATAAACGATGTGCACTTGCGCAGCCAGCGGCTTATTCAAGAAGGAGAGTGAGTGACTCTGGTACCTTTCGGGCACTTGCCTTCCCTAACAGCCAGCCACGGGAGAAAGGTGAGCAGTAGGAGTCCGGGAATGGGGCATTCCCCGAGTCCCGGGGAATGGGGCGGGTGGGCGAAGCCTCCAGCTGCCATTGCTACCGGTTCTCGAACCACCGGCCATCATCGCTATTTACTCGCCCAAGCCAGTCTGAACCGGGAGCATTTCAGCCCTGGTAGAATGCCATAGATATAGTATTACAGAGTATAGAATGCCATAGGCAAAATATTACAAAGATTCTGCAGTATTGTAAGTACAATCAGATGGGAAATTATCTTTATTGCAGAAGCTTATAGTGCAATTCCTCATATCAAAGAAGATTAAGGTTAGACCCTACCTTTTGAACTAAATTGTAAATTTTAAGTAAGTATTAAAATGGTAATCTGTTTCCCTTGGTTGGGACAAGACACACCATTTGAAATAGCTTTCTCTAAAATGCATATTTAAGAATGTTAAATATATAGCTGTATAAAAAGTTAAGGCTTTTTGGATAAAAATTTGGTGGGTCATGCAGAATGTGTTGAAGAAAAAAATTCAATTCTCTCCACAATTGTTTTTATTGGGTATAGTTAAGGGTTTTACATCGGGTGAAACAAAACTGATACTGTATATGATAACAGCAGCAAGATTGTTGATAGGTAAATACTGGAAAAATGAAGCTTTGCCCACTATTGAGGAATGGACTTTGAAGATGGCCAGTTTTGCAGAGATGGCGAAGATTTCAGCATACTTAAAAGATTGTTCACAAGAGACTTATGAATGGGAATGGAAAAGATGGATAGAATATGTTCAGAACAAATATCAAACTAGAAAGTATCAAATAGCCTTTACTTGAAAATAATGTTTTAGAAATATTTTAATGTAATGAGGTAAAAAGAAAAATCATACAGGGGAGGGAGGGGTTCAAGTTTATACATAAGTGTCATATTAAGGGTTTTTTTTTTTACGAGTTATGAGTATATTATAGGGAAGTCTGGGGGGAGGGGAGGGTTAGGGAGGGTTAGGGAGGTTGGGAAGTTTGGGGGTGGTGGTGGTGGGGGGAAAAGGGGTGAAAATGTAATTGTAAAACTTTTGCAATTAAAAAAAAAAAAGAATGTTAAATATATAAAATTCAATGCCCAAGCTTAATTGAACCTTTCTGAGGCACTGTACTTTTGAGCGCTTGTCTCAAACAGCTTAATAGCTGCTGGAACATATTTACATCCTCTTAACTGAACAAAGACAGTTAACCAATATGCTCCTTACAGTTTGGGGGAAGCATAAGATGAAAAGGGAAATATTTATTTAAATATTTAAAACACATCATCTGTTGATATTTGAAAAACAGTGTTGATGTGTTTCAAATAGCTGCACATATCTCATATCTATGAACCAATCTTGCATTTTTTTTTACTTTTGTGCAAACATAAGTATGAATATTCATTTTATTGAAGTTAAGGTGCAGTAATAAAGGCTTACAAAAGGCTCTCATCATCTTCATCTTCTAAATTGTGTCATCTGCCTATATGAGAATTGATGCTGAGCTTGTTGATTGAAAGGTCGGCAGTTCAGCGGTTCGAATCCCTAGTGCCATGTAATGGGGTGAACTCCCATTACTTGTCCCAGCTTCTGCCAACCTAGCAGTTCGAAGGCACGTAAAAAATGCAAGTAGAAAAATAGGGGCCACCTTTGGTGGGAAGATAACAGTGTTCCGTGTTCCTTTGGCATTTAGTCATGCCAGCCACATGACCACGGAGACGTTTTCGGACAGCGCTGGCTCTTCAGCTTTGAAACAGAGATGAGCACCGCCACTAGAGTCGGGAACAACTAGCACATATGTGCAAGGGGAAGCTTTACCTTTACCTTTATGCGTTATTTGATAGCTTATAGGTATAATGTTTGACTCTGTCTAAATAGTAGACTATTGAATTGATATAAAAATTAGATAGTGGTAGGACATGAATGCAAATAAATGACTAAGTTACATTACATTTAAAGAGATTCTAAAGATAAAGGTTCCTGACGGAGCTTGGGCCGTTTCCTGAGACTCTGACACACGACTCGACTGAAGAGCTGGTGGCCGCCTGGGAGAGTGCGGCCGCCGGAGCTTTGGATCGTGTCATGCCTTTGCGGCCTCTGACCCGATGCCGATCTCAATTGGCTCCTTGGTTCTCTGAGGAGCTGAGAGAGATGAAGCGTCGGAAAAGACGCCTAGAGAGTATTTGGAGGACTAGTCATTCTGATTCCGACCGGACACAGGTGACGTCTTATATCAAGACCTACCTAGTGGCGATAAAAGCGGCAAAATCTAACCATTTTTCCGCTCTTATCGCATCTGCAGAGAACCGCCCAGCCGCCCTGTTTAGGGTGACCCACTCCCTTCTTCGGGGGGGAGTGCGGGAGGATCCCTTGCAGGGTCGAGCTGAGGATTTTGTGCAATTCCTGCACGATAAAGTCGCTCGGATTCGGGAAGGCTTGGACTCCAACTGGGTGAGTCCGGGGGAGGAGACGAGGGTAGGTCTTGAGAATATTATCTGGGAGGAGTTTGATCCTGTGGCTCCCGAGGATGTGGACAGGGTTCTGGGTAGGATTAGTGCCACCACATGTTTATTGGACCCGTGTCCCTCCTGGTTGGTACTGGCCTCCCGGGAAGTTACACGAGGCTGGCTCCAGGGGATTATAACTGCTTCTCTGAGTGAGGGTGCCTTTCCCGCCGCCTTGAAAGAGGCGGTGGTGAGGCCCCTCCTCAAGAAGCCTTCCCTGGACCCGGCTGAATTAGTTAACTATCGTCCGGTCTCCAACCTTCATTTTGTGGCGAAGGTTGTTGAGAGTGTGGTGGCACGACAACTGCCCAGGCACCTGGATGAAGCTATCTATCTAGACCCGTACCAGTTGGGCTTCAGGCAGGGGCACAGCACAGAAACGGCATTGGTCGCGTTGGTGGATGATCTCTGGAGGGCCCGGGACAGGGGTTGCTCCTCTGTCCTAGTCCTATTAGATCTCTAAGCGGCTTTTGATACCATCGACCATGGTATCATGCTGCAGCGGTTGAGGGGGTTAGGAGTAGGGGGCACCGTTTTGCGGTGGTTCTCTTCCTTCCTCTCCGGCCACTCGCAGTTCGTGTTGGCAGGGGGGCAGAGGTCGACCTCGAGGCATCTCGCATGGGGAGTGCCACAAGGGTCGGTCCTCTCGCCTCTTCTGTTCAACATTTATGTGAAGCCGCTGGGTGAGATCATCCGTGGTTTTGGGGTGAAGTGTCACCTGTACGCTGATGATACTCAGCTGTACATCTCCACCCCAGACCACCCCAACGATGCCCTTGATGTGATGTCTCGCTGCCTGGAGGCCGTGCGGGTCTGGATGGGGAGGAACAGGCTCAGACTCAACCCTTCCAAGACCGAGTGGCTGTGGCTTCCGGCGCCCCGATATAGTCAGCAGGTGCCATCGCTGACTATTGGGGGTGAATCTTTGCCCCCCACAGAGAGGGCTCGCAATCTGGGTGTCCTCCTGGATGCACGGCTGTCTTTAGAAGAGCATATGACGGCCGTGGCCAGGGGGGCCTTTTATCAGGTTCACCTGATCAGCCAGTTGCAGCCCTTTCTGGACCAGGACGCCTTGCGCACGGTCACTCATGCCCTTGTCACCTCCCGGCTGGACTACTGCAATGCTCTCTACATGGGGCTCCCCTTGAAGAGCACTCGGAGGCTCCAGCTGGTCCAGAATGTGGCCGCGTGGGTGGTTATGGGTGCACCTCGTTGTGCCCGCGTGACACCCCTCCTGCGCGAGCTGCACTGGCTCCCAGTGGTCTTCTGGGTGCGATTCAAGGTGTTGGTTACCACCTTTAAAGCGCTCCATGGCACAGGACCCGGATACCTTCGAGACCGTCTTCTGCCACCAAGAGCCTCCCACCAACCAGTCCGTTCCCACAGAGAGGGTCTCCTCAGGGTGCCATCAGCCAAGTTATGTCGGCTGGCGACACCCAGGGGGAGGGCCTTCTCTGTGGGAGCCCCAACCCTGTGGAATGAACTGCCCCCGGAAATACGTAAGATCTCCGACCTCCGGGTGTTCCGCTGCGCACTGAAGACCCTGTTGTTCTGCCAGGCAGGGCTGTCAATATAATAATTTTAAATTGGGGTATTTTAATTTTTAGGGTTTTAAATCGGCCAAATCTATTTAATTATTTTAATTTTTAATTATTGTTGTGTCTTGTGTTTTTAAATTGGCTGTACACCGCCCTGAGTCCTTCGGGAGAAGGGCGGTATAGAAATAAAATTATTATTATTATTATTATTATTATTATTATTATTATTATTATTATTATATACAATATTACCACGTGGAGGTGGAGGTGGAGATGTGCCTCTATTTTCCAAATGCAATTTCTTCACATTCTGAATTAGCCTATCTCAGACTGAGTCCCATAGATCAAGGGTCACCAACCTTTCAGACCTCAGAGACCACTAAATTCATAATTTTAAATCCTGTGGACCACTAATATGATCTGCCTAATGACCGGCTGGGTGGGCGTGGCTGGGTGGGCATGTTACTGGGTGGGCATGGCCAACTCGATGTCAATCACATCGAGGGGCACCTCACCAGCCTCTACTCGCCACTCCCCTCCCAGCCACTCCTTGCCTGCCCACCCGGGCTCCTTAGGGCCCCAACAGGAAGCAGTTATTGGAGCTAAGCAGCCACCAAGAGAAAGAGCTGGCAAAACAGCTGGCTCAATTCAAATTGGATCTGGCCGAGAAGGAGTCTCAGCAGAAGCATCTCACTGAGGACTACAAGCATAGGGAAGATCTGCAGGAGTGCAAGGCCAGGAACCTGCAGATTCAGCGGGCTGAGATGGTCAGCCAGTTCTAGGCCATGAGACAGTCCCACTGGAACAAGGCCATCCAGCTCTTCACCACCAGCAGTGTTTCCCTCCAGCCTTCGCCCAAAGCCCTGCACCAGAAGGCTGAAGCAGACCCCAAGTCAGGATTTCTGCTCCCCTCTGTCCCACACAAAAAGACTCTGAAAGGGGAAATTCTCTGCAGCAACACAAACATTCATTGCACGTATCCGGCCCAGAGCCTGTAGTTTGAGCATCCCTGATTTAGTGCAATATAAAAAATGCAAATAATTTTTCTGCGGACCACCAAAATTTTCTCGCAGACCACTAGTGGTCCACGGACCACCAATTGGTGACTGCTGCTATAGACTGCCTTTCTTTGAAGAGTACTTCAGGCTTACTTCCTCTTACCTCGGCTTTGTGTTGTTTGGTTATCATCTCCCAGAATTTCATCTTCTCCTCCATAGGTTCTGATGGGGGATCGAGCATAGGAATGCTTTTGTATAAGACTCTCTACACTTTCTCTGTAAAAAACAAAACACCATGCTATACACCAACTGAAAATTTATCTTTGCACTTAACCAGTTACATGCTCAAATAATCATGTTATTGGAATCCAGCTGTGTATTGCATGTATGTAATTAACATGACAATAAAATTAAAGAATATTATTCTATACTCCTATTAAGGGCACTTTTAAAATATCTTTCTGAATTTACTATTTTATCATTTCACCAACCTCTACTAAAATGTTCATAATAGCTATTCTTCTGATCTAGGAAAACAATGAAGTTTGTACATGTGATCAGTGTCTCAAAGCAAAGATCATATTTTGCTGAAGTTGTCTGGGCCTGCTAGTCAAAAGTTTTCTTTTCACTATTTTTTAAAATATTAGTCATTGTGGTTGCAAAACAAAAATATGTGCATTGTAGAACAAACACCAGTCTTCTGGCTGGAACTAAATTTAAACCTAACTACTGCCACAAATCACTAATCAACCATTGGCAATTCCTCTTTGTCTCTATCTCTATGTGTCTCTCTCATTCTTTTTACCTCAGTTATTCTATCTAATACAGGATTATAATGATGACATACAGTATCCTCTGATTTATTATGTGAAACTCTCTGAATGCCTGACAGTTCTACTTGTTGTTGTGGTTAGTTACAAAGTCGTGTCTGACCCATCACCACCCCATGGACAACGTTCCTCCAGGCCTTCCTGTCCTGTACCATCCTCTGGAGTTCATTTAAGCTCACGCCTACTGCTTCAGTGACTCCATTCAGCCACCTCATTCTCTGTCGTCCCTTTCTTTTGCCCTCAATCTTTCCCAGCATTAGGCTTTTCTCCAATGAGTCCTTCCTTCTCATTAGGTGGCCAATCAGGGGTGGGTTCTAAAATTTTTTACTACTGGTTCTGTGGGCGTGGCTTATTTTGTGGGCGTGGCTTGATGGTCATGTGACAATTATTTAGGATTTAGCAGAAGTACTGGTCTACCAGGCTTTTAACTGCTTGCAGAGCTGTACCAATCTACCCATTTATTTTTGCAGGCACTGGTTTATCCATTTATTTTTGCAGGCACTGGTCTACTCATTTGTTTTCTTTTAACACTGATCAGCTGTAAGGCAGCCCTTTGAAGCCCCGTGGCAAGAGTTTAAACAGTTTTTTCCCCTCTAGCCATCAGCTAGAATCAGGAGGCAACAATAGATTGGGGGTGGGGCCAAATAAAAGGTAAGAATAACGCAGGGGGTAGGGGGAGGCAGAACCGGTTCGGTGACGTCATATTGTCACCGCTATCGGCTCGGCGGAATCAGGTGGAACTGGGAGGAACCCACCACTGTGGCCAATGTATTTAAGTTTCATCTTCAGGATCTGGCCTTCTAAAGAGGTTGATCTCCTCTAGGACTGACCGGTTTGATCGTCTTGCAGTCCAAGGGACTCGCAGGAGTCTTCTCCAGCACCATAGTTCAAAGGCCTCAATTCTTTGGCGCTCAGCCTTCCTTATGTTCCAACTTTCACAGCCATACATTGCAACTGGGAAAATGAAAGCCTTGACTATATGCACTTTTGTTGGCAGGGTGATGTCTCTGCTTTTTAGTATGCTGTCTAGATTTGCCATAGCTTTCCTCCCCAGGAGCAAGCGGCTTTTAATTTCTTGGCTGCGGTGATCTTGGAGCTCAGGAAAATAAAATCTGTCACTACCTCCATTTCTTCTCCATCTATTTTCCAGGAATTGAGAGGGGCTGGATGCCATGATCTTAGTTTTCTTAATATTGAGTTTTAAGCCAACCTTTGCACTCTCCTTTTTTATTCGCATCAAGAGGCTTTTTAGTTCCTCTTCACTTTCTGCCATTAGAGTGCTATCATTTGCACATCTGAGGTTGTTGATATTTCTCCTGGCAATCTTAATTCCAATTTTTGATTCATCTAGCCCCGCCTTTCTCATGATGTGCTCTGCATATAAGTTAAATTGGCAGGGCAACAGTATACAGCCTTGCCGGATTCCTTTCCTAGTTTTGTTCTAGTACAACTACAAAATATTATAATTGCTTTATTTCTCTGCTTTATTTCTCTGCTTTGTTAAGATAAGATCATCAACTATACTGTTGGTTCATAAATTTTGCATTCATTATATGATTTTATTCATTAATTCACTATATGATTTTATGTTGAGTATTCACTCATCAAAAAGCTTTTCTTTTTTAAAATGATTATTTAAAGAAAGTCTTTATTAAAACACACAGATGCTTTATTTAAACTAAATTTGTATATCATCGATTGCATGATCTCTTTGTATGCCATATGCTAAATAAAATAGCTCAGAAAACAGCATCATATGAATCAATAACTTAATGTTCCAGTTTATGCATTAAGTTCACATTAACATGTGATACTAAATCTTCCTGAAAAAGCTATCAGATCTGTGCTATATAAAACCAGACAGCTAGCTACTAGATGACAGCAAGAAATACAATATGAAGATTTACATCATCAAATACTTTGAAAAGTTTACATCTAAACTTTCATCAGGGAATGGCAGCAAAATGTTAGTTATCTAATACATTATTAGTATCAACTTTCTATGAGGAGGAATAGTAAAGGGATTTTACTGTTTAATTGATTTATAAAAGACATTTCTAGGAATTACTGACTCCAAAATAAATATGGGTGGCCTACAGTGAGACAGATATACATCTAAAAAGACCATACTGACCTAGAGGAACAACAAAAACCATCTTTCCAATCCTATGTCTAATTTAAAAGGCCCAGTAATTATCTTGGCGCAGCATCTGGGAGGAACACCATGTTTTTGGTGGCAGGCAGAGTTAGAACAGTTCAAATCTCCACAGAGATGATGTTCTACAGTGCTGCCGTAGAGAAGGCATACTTCCAAGACCTTAGTAGGTGACCTATTTAATTGATGAGATCCACAGTATAGCAATTTTGTCAGATTGTATAAGCTGGACAAAAACCAATGGAAGTGGACAATTACAGATGCAACTAGACTATATGGCCTCTAGGGCTTTATAAGTGCTAAGCAGCACTTTGAATTTGTTCCTGGAAACCTCAAGATGATCACAGCAGTTTATAGAGCAGGGGGCTATTACATAAGCATATATAATAATATATGCTTATGTGATATATATAAACATGCTCATAATTACATGTGTTTTTGGTACTTGGTACCACTGTTTTATTGGACTTGGATAACTGCAAATTGAATTAGACCTGAAAGTATTGTATTTTGCTTTGCCTTAGATATGAAAACTCTCATAATTTAGTTGTAACTAGGTACTGCTGAACTCAAATGCCTGCATAATGCTGCAGCCTTGTGGCATAAGGCAGGCCTTGAGATGCATATTTACTTAAGAGTAAGAATTATATGAGGAAGAACTTAGTCCTGATAAATATGGGAGAATTAACTTCTGAATAAATATGCCTAAAGAAGCCCTATTTGTACATCAATCATGAAGTGAGTTTTTGCTGTAGTGCAGGGGTGAAATGCTACCGGTTCAGCCGAACCAGTAGCAATGGCAGCAGATGGTTCGGAGAACCGGTAGTGATGGTAGTGCAAGGCTCCGCCCACCCATCCAGTCGTTGTTACTTCCTGGTTTTAACTAGAAAGTAACCTGTTTTTTATCCTCTGTGGATGCACAGAAAGGTTTGCGCATGCACAGAGGGTCTGCATGTGCATGTGTGGTGCATGCACTTCCGAACCGGTAGGGAAGGTAAGTAGATTTCACCCCTGCTGTAGTGCCTCTCATCCTTGCATTTGCAGGCTGCTGAGATTTGAGGTGCAACAGCTAAAAGATCACAGATTTCTGTCCATCTTGAATTAGACTAAAGTGGTGCTTCCTATTATTTGGAAGTACATTTATTTAAAATCTGATTATTTTCATATAAACCTGAGTAGCAATAACAAACATTTCAACCTCAAGCCTCTAAAATATGAAATGTGGAGCCCAGGTCTTCAACAATTTTATAAAAAGACAACTCAAAGGAAAATAAATGCCATGGGAAACAAATTAATTTTGAATTCCTTCAAGAATCCCTTTCTTCAAGGATTGGCTTCAATAGTCAGTACCTTGAAAAAACAAAGTTTGCAGGAAAGGCTTTCACCCCTTTATAGTCTGCATTCTGATGCCTTTAGTCATTCAAAAGACTAAACATAAATTATAAATACATTAAAAAAATAAATTTAATTCTAAATAACCAAAACTAGCACTTATCTGGATTTCGAGGACAGTAACAAAGCTACCAGAATAGGCATGCAAAAATTGGAATAACCACTAGATAGCAGCAAAGACAGAAAACTAGCTGAAAATTTTTCAATCCTAGGTCAAATTGCTATAAATTCTACACTTCCTGTAATGTTAAACTCTCATAATTTAAATGTTCCTTGATTTCAGGTAAGTTCAATATAATGTAAATATACTGCTTAAGGTGACTTTTCGTTCACCAGATAATTAGTGTTACTAAACAGGTTCTAATGGTCAAAAGTATTTCTGAAACTATTAATAACTGAGAGTCAAGGAAATAAATCCAACAGGATGAGTCTCCTCTTAAGGCTGGGAGGAAAAACGGTACTTATAATGACAAGTTTTAAGAAGCAGGAAGAAGAAGCAACTCATTATTTAGAGAATTGATCTGTTTATGAACAAAACTACTTTAGCTAGCAAGATTCCCCAAAGATAAACTGAGCTGATGCACAATTAATGAAATAGTTTCCTCTATTTATATCTATTTTTTGTATCCAATCCATGTTTATACTTATTACCTAATACGTTCATGACAAATAAATAAATATATATAAATATTATAGATAGATAGATAGATAGATAGATAGATAGATAGATAGATAGATAGATATATGATCTATTTGTGCCATCCTAGATAATCCAAATAACCAATGCTATTTAAACCTGATGTTCAGCAGATATCTCAAATGCTCATTCCCATTGATAACTCAGTATGGCACAAAAATAGTGTATTCAGTATTATGTTCAGCATAAAAAAAGAAGTACA